AGAGAAGAATGCTAGCCATCTCGCCATCCTAGGCGAGAGGTGCGGTGAATTTGTAACGGTCCGCAGTAATGCGTGATCCGTATAAACCACGAATGGATCGTGCCCAAGAGGTGCACACGAAACTTTACAAGGGCATACTTAATTAAAAGTAGCTCCTTGTCATACACAGGGTTATTCAGCTCTGCGGCTTTTAAAAGCCGAGACTTATACGATATGACACGGTCAACGCCGTTGTCATCCTTTTGCATGAGCGCGCTGCCGATTGCAAAATTGCTTGCATCGCAGACGACGCTTAAGGGCTTATCCGCGTCTGGCAATGCCAAGACCGGTGCCTCTACAAGAGATTGCTTTACTGAAGTGAACGCATCTTCGTGCTTCTTTGAACAAGTCCATTCTGCATCCTTTTTCAAAAGGTCAGACAATGGCTTAGTCCGCTCCGCATTATTCTTGTAGTACTTATGCAAGTGATTAGCGAGCCCAAGGAATTGGCGCAGATCCTTCGCGTGTCGTGGGACTGGCCATTTCTTGATATCCTTAAACTTTTTTGGGTCTGCTCGTACACCGTGTGCACCTACGATGCACCCAATACAGGTATCTCGGGGACCCTTATTACGCACTTTTGCAAGTTTACGTATAATTGGGCGTCACCCAGAGTCTGCAACACAGCTTCAAATGACGCTTGTGCGACTCTATTGCGCTCAGAATGTCCTCCGCCCTACTATGCACGAATACATCGTCAAAGTAATGGGGCGCGTAGGCACGGTGCTGACGCATCACGTGAGCCACTACTCGGTTGAATGTTGCCGGAGCATTTTTCAACCCTTGTGGCATCACAAGACACTCCCACAGCATACCGCTTGGGTTGCTTACTGCTTTTTTGGCTACATCAGTATCCCTCATGAGAAATTGATAGTAGCCATCCTTCAGATCCAACGCGGAAAAGATAGTTGACTATACCATGGAGTTCATCAAAACATCTTTCCGCGGGATCGGCATTTGCACCGGAATGGTGGACGTGTTCAGCTTACTATAAGCATGAACTACGCGCCACCCACCTGTTGCTTTACGCACACAAAAGGTCAGGCTGCAGTGAGGCGACTTGCTGTCACGTACATGTCCCGCCTTGGCTCGCATGTCGAAGAACTCATCGATGTAATCGACTTGTTCCTTCGGCTACGGCCATTGCCTGGTCACACACTACTTGGTGCCAGGCTCCAGGTCAATCTCGAGCCTGATGCTCCTATCGGCCGGTAGGCGGCTCGGCACTTCTGCTGGAAACACATCACGGTGTTTCCACAGAACATCATAGAGCGAGCTGTCCTTCAAGGCATCCCAGCTTTGAGCTGCAAACCATTGCTTCTTGTCGGTCTCCAAGATGCTCTCGTCCATTGTGGACGACGAGCAACCCTCCAACACGTTCTCTTCTGGAACTGGATCTCGTGGATCTTTCCTTCCTTTAGTTCGGACAGGAACAGATCCCACGCCATCTCCGAGAGATTTACTATCTCCTCGGCAGATGTCAAGAAAACTCGAAACACCTCAACTGAAGATGTCTCCGGAATCTTATCTTCGACGACCTAGAACAACTCGTTCGTAGGTCTGTCCTCTTGGACCGAGGCTGATCCAAGGGTCACTCGTTTCGACGTACCTTTGATCGTCTTTATAAGTCTGTTGCTCGTTCTTTGAGTCACCACGACCTTTGACGTGGAAGAAGGTGTCGTTGCTGTATTAGCAAACGCACTCCTTCCAACCGCACCAGGCTCATGGCTCTGTGCTGGTTCTTGTGGCGCTTGACTTCCTGTCAGCCCACCATCAACTGCCACAGGCTTTCGGCTCTGTGGCAGGACTATTGGACGCATCACTACTTGTCATCGCCCCACTCACTACACCAGTCTTTTCGAACTGGGTAAGAATATGTGTCACCTGGCTTTCTGCCAGGGTACTTCCAACTACACCACTCTTTTCGAGCTGGGTAGTTCCTGGTGCCGATTGACATACCGTCGTCGCACCCTCGACTGAGTTGGACACAGCATCAGCCACGTAAGCCTCTCGCAAGAGCACATCCTTTCCGGTGTCTTGCGTAGAGCTAGCGACTGTGCGTGTACGCCAGTCAATCCATGGTTGGTGTTTAGCCAACCAAGGCATGCCTAGGATGAGGTCATACGGACTCTCCATACCTAGCACTATGAACTTCTCTTTACAAGAGAAGTCACTAAAGCTGAAGGAGAGTTCATCTTGAACTCCCTCCAATTTAACGAGCGCGCCGTTCGCTGAACGAACGATCGCCTCTTCTCTCTTGCCATCCTGTTAAAGTGACTCATAACTCTCCGGACTCTTTTTCAGAGCCGCGAGTTTCACAAAGTTTTGTGATGCACCCGAATCAACGAGAAGGGTCATCACTTGGTCATAGCCTCTGACTCGAGCGCTATAGACCAAAAATGTTGAGGTCCGACCTTTCGGAACCTCAAAGACTATGCTACCCATTTGTTCGATCACTCTGAACTTAGGGGTAGCTTCAGAGTCCATGACAGTATGGCATCCCGCCCCTACTGCGCTCCCACATTTCCCGATCCATCTTGGGCAGGTGCTGAACTTGTGCGTCGTGCACGCTGGTTTTTGCACCTCCCTTTGGGTAGGGAGCCTTCTTGCTGGTTGCCTTAGTACCAGCAGCAAGTTTGGCATAGCAGCGAGCCATCATATGGCCTCGATTGCCGCACTTGTAGCAGACCACGTCTGCATTGCCTAACTCCATTAGAGTGGCATCCGACCTCTCGTCGGCGACGGCTTATAACAAGCTGTCGCCGAGGCACTGTTGCAGAATTGCTCCTCAACCATGTCAGTTTCAATTGCCTCCTCCATCGTCTTTGGCACCTTTCTAAAAAGGTCCTGACGCGATGGGACGTGCCTAAGTCCGCTCATGAACGTGGCCACCTTGATACGTTCCGGTATCGGACCCACATTAATGGACGCAGACATCGAACGAATCTCCTGCACATACTCTTGCAGATATCGTTTCGACTGTCGCGCTCTAAAGAAGCGCGCTTGAAGTAATACTTCATTGTTAGGCGACTGGTACATGGCACGAACCTTTGACATAAAGATCTTCCATTATAGAGCCGCATCAGCCTTTGCCATCAGCGCAGAGTAGGCTCACTCTGACGCTTTGCCACGCAAGTTGGATATGGCATACGACACCATACTGGTGTCATCTTCGATAAACTGTGCCATAACGCATTGCTCAACTGATAATAGCTAGTGGACAATCGTATGTGGGGCAGTCCCATCAAACTTCGGAGGGTCCATCCGAATGGGCTTTGGCTGATTAGACCGGGCCGAGAGCGTCTCAACAGTTCTGTTGAGCGCCTCATTCCGTACCTGCTCAATTTTAACTGATTCTTATTGATGGACTCAGCCGTAGCTTAGCTGTTTGCCTCGGACGGATTTCTGCGCTGTCCGAGGACAAACGCCTCAAATTACTCCAACTGAGCAACATGTTGCTCAAGAGGAAAATGCAAGAGATTAGCCAGGGATTGTTCACCAAGTCCCTGCACCAAGTGCTTTGCCACCTCCCTTGATGTTGGGAGAGGTGAGGAAAATCACCCCAATCCACGTTGAGGAACATCCGTTTCCACACGCACGCTCAGAGAGACGGTTCGTGGGAAGGACTACTAGTGCTTAAGTGTAGGCGGGCACTTCGTAAAAAAGCTGCCACGTACTACGCGGGCGCCCCTTCAAGCAGCGCGAGGAAGCGGTTATACCGCCTTACCTCCGCGTGCAGTGGTGGTGTTGGCCTCGGCGCTAAGAAGCGCTAAACCAACCGTTGCCTCTCGCTTTGGAGCGACCAGCGCAACGAACTGGTAAGACAATAGCTGCATTTAAGACACGCAGAAGCTTATACAGCTTCTCGTGCGTAGTGTGCGATGTTTAGTAGATTCAAGACTGACTTATTTAATAGATTTAAACTAAATTAAAGTTAAATACTGATTGGTTTATTATGCAAAGATTGAATACGCATCTCTTTAGAAACGTATCATTAAATTCGAGCTTAAAATATATTTAAGCTCGCAGGTGACGTCTATTTAAAGCGTCACCATGACGCCAGTCCCAACTGGCGTCATCCTCGTTGAATGTGAATCCACCCATGGATATCACATTCACGAGGGTGGGTCACATTAATGTGCCGCACCCAAGTGGTACTTCGTACCCATTTAGGCCTGCCCGTTAAGTATTCGATAGTTAACGAACCGTGTAACTTTTAGCCCGTTAAATACATACGTACATACATATAGAAACCTTTAAGCGTGATGCACTTTCGGCATGACGTTCCAACCGTCGTGTAATACCGTTACATCCCGCAAATTCATGAGCCATACATCGTGGCAATGCACGTACTCGTACCCATTCAGCATGGTAAAGTGGTGGCTACACTCGGCAAGACCGATCGAATATGATCTGATGCGGTGGCCATTTATACTGCAGCCGGTTGCTGGGTGCAGCAGCATCTGACGATGCGAGTAGCTTACTCAGAATAAGGCGCAGGTGAACAAAATTGTGGTGCTGCCATTGTTCATAGCTAAGGCTGCTTATATAAGCTAAAATAGCTAAGTTCACGTAGGACGGTGAGATGTTCTGCATCATCCGTATCCTATACGATGAAGAGCCATGAGCATTTTTAATTTTTATGATGCTAACATTATGGTACTTTTACTAAAATCTTTAACAGCCCGTTTATAATATGACGTTGTATGGTGCCAGTAGTCTACTCGTCAAAAGCGTTGTATTCACTTACTGATGCTCATCGACGATTTTACCAGTCGTTTATCTGTTTAACACTTCTCGCATTTAAACTTATATTAATGAGTTGTAGCAAGTTAAAATCATCCCTTTTAAGTTTAGAAAAACAGATATCAGAACACGTTAATCATCTCCAAACTCCGTCGCAGACTCTTCCCGTCACCGCCCACACGTTGCAACGCGACCAACTTTGGCACATTTACGTCATGCTGACGACACCGAGATCGCCGGACTCCCCCTCTACCTTCTATTATGATACGGCGACGGTGAATATTGTCGTGCTGGCGCCTCCGTCGCCCAGCGAAACGAACGTCTCTAGTCCTGCGTCTTCTAGCGACATCAGCCCCATACCAGCAAAACGGTGGATACAAATAAACGGGGTACAGCGTCTTTTGTCAGCGCTGGTGCTGGCGCCGCTCATCACGGTCTTCCTGTGGCTTTCACCGGCTTTTGCCACCGCTACGTTTTGCACAATCGTGACCAGTATCTGCTCCTACGAGTATGCGTGGATACAACACCGCATCTACTTGCGCTTCATGACCACGATGAACGCCTATGAGCCGCATCTGATGCGTAGAGATGTCGCAATTGACAACGACCCGGCGCAAAACCAGCACAATGACGACGGTCGCGTCTCTGAGATCATCAATCGTAGCATACGAAGCGAGAGAAGCAGCAGCAGCAGCAGAGCGGGCAATATAAGTGTAAGCATTACAGAAGCTGAAGTCACGAACAGAGGATACACTACAAGCGGTGAGACCGTCCAGCCGCCGCCATTGACACCCCCGCTGCCACCGAGAGCGGCTATCGTGTCCCCTCAGCCAGAAAACATACCTCAAGATCAACGGCAAAGTCAGGAAACTAATGCTGAAGATAACTTCATGCATGATGCGAGTTTCTTAAGCAGTGCTGTGTCCAGAATGGCCGACAAGCACTTTCACCAAAACGAGTGGATTGCTGCATTGGTGCTGTCGGCACTTACTACTGTCGTCACTACGAGCATTTTCCTGATCTATGTCGAACATATCCCTGAGCTGCATGGGAAGCAGTTGTACAAGCTGCGCTGGTTCTACAGTATCGCCACTGACTTTGTCGCTGCGCTTTGTGCCTTCTTCACGCCGAATTGGAGGCATGCGCTCATCTGTCTCGTGGAAAAAGCGATTTTTACTCTGTTGACTATGCAATCGGCTGCTTGTCCCATCAACCGCTTTCATTGTGGAGTTTTCCTAGAGCCGTCACAAGTGTTTCTTTCAGGCGCGGTAATTATCGTTTTCTTTCGTCTACAGACGCGCTCATCAGGGCCTGCCACGTTTCTGCATATTGCGCTGGATATGCTCGGCTATCTGTATATCATCGGCACACTTTCCGTGGTTGCCGCCTTTGTGGACGACGAGCGGGTCGATGCGTACCGTAGGCTGCTAATCGTGCTGCTTTACGTTATATGGGCGTCGGACACCGGGGCATATTTGACGGGGAACTTGCTGGATCGAATGCACTACAGCCATTACAATCGTCTGGCACCACACTTGTCCAAAAACAAGGACTACGAAGGAACATTCGGTGCCATTTTATTTGGCGTCGCTGCGATGTTCATCTCCTCATTTCTGCTTAGCGTACCAGGCTCTCCGGCTGCACAAGTTGGATTCTCCGTGGTGGCTGTGATAGTGGGACGACTTGGAGATCTTTTTGAGAGTCTTTTGAAGCGAGCAGCTGGTGTGAAAGATTCTGGGAAGCTGATTCCTGGTCACGGTGGTGTACTGGATCGCATTGACGCACTGATGTTTGCTTCACTTGTGTTTGCACGTTATTATGGTACAGCCGTGACGTGAGGCCAAGCGTAGACTTTTTTGAGGAAAAGTTTGCAAAAATGGCGTTTGAGAGGCCTGAAACATTTTTTTTGTTTACATATTTGATTGAGTGAAGCTTCAAATATGACATGACACGTAATAACACGTAATTATCAGTCCCACCGAAACGGATGACTAGATGGAAAGTGTATCACGATTTCAAGGCTTATTTTATGTAAATGTCGTGGAATGCTCTATTATTTGTAGCTAAATTCATTATTAACTCGGGTGAAAAAAGTTTTACTGGATATTTATAAAAAAATAAGCATCACCCCGATTTCGAGGTATAGTTTAAGTTATCTTGTTTCTTCTTTTATATAACTAGGGTGTTTACCAGTCGTTCCGACGGTGCGCAGTAGTATATATAATTAGACGAGCTATTTGCTAGGGTGTTCACCCATCGTTCCAAAGATGCGCAGTAGTATATATAATTAAACGCAGCACTTTGCTAGGGTGTTCATCCGTCGTTCCGACAGTGCGAAGATGTATATACAAGCATTTTAACGCGGCACTTTGCTAGGGTGTTCGCCCGTCGTTCCGACGGTGCGCATAAGTATATTTAGGCATCTTTAAACGCAGCTTTTTGATAGGGTGTTTACCCGTGGTCCGACGGTGCGAAGTAGTATATGTAACAGGGCATCTAGTTACATGTAAACATTAAGTGATGTACTTAATGTAAGGTCTAAAAGTATCCATGATTACTTTAACCTGTCACTTAAGTGCGATACACAAATGTGATCCATGTAATGGGGCACCCTCCGACTATACTGATTACAGTATAGTCTACTTTCACTGATTACAGTGAAAGCAGTTGCCTCAAAACCTCACGTACACGTGAGCAGAGGAAGCTTATCAACTAAACAAACGCTTAGTTGAGAGGGAAAAGAAAACTGTATTTAACATAGTTAACTATCTAATAAAACTAATCTGTTATAACCTATGTTAACTATATTAAACTACAACTATGTATGTTGACAACTTGCCCTCCACTCATTGCGCGCGTCCATCGGTCATTGGTCAGCGCGTTAATTGATATGATGGCCCATATCAACCAATGAGAGGGCATCTCCAACTTCAAGGAGATCTAGGAACAATATTATAAGAAAAGGTAATATTGTCAAAATATTATTAGTTATAATAATAATTTTATTGACACTTTATATAAGTGTCAATTTTATGTAACAAACTCACCCCGTTACATCCCCCCTTCAACCGACAGTCACAAAAGTGACTGTTTAGTGACTATGGGAAGAGGTCACTTGTTGATTCTTTTATTATAAAAACTGCAACGCAATGACCAAGCCGTTGCGCATCGCTGCCAATACGGCAGAGGATTCGGCTGCACGCCTGTGTGCAGCCGCTACTGAGGCTTCACAGCCTCAGCCAGCAGACACTAATATATCTTCTGGAAGTCAACATCGGCCTGCACCGACTGCTGCAGATTCACGTGGCGCTTCGCCACGGGAAAATGTTGACCCAGAGTTAATCGTTAACTACTCTGGTGAGTCGGATGACGCATCCGACTTAAATCCACCTGCTCCGCTTCTGTACTCGCCCCGAGTTGGTGCCTTGTCTTCAAATGTTACGAAGAAGGGCCGTGGTACACTAAGTAAATCAATGTACCGTAACAATGTTCGGGTCGTCTGACGAATCTGACGACTCGCCAAACGAGTCGAAGGATAGTGACTCGGGTGGGGACCGTAAGGGTGATGTCAGTGCTTCTACTGACATCAATGCTCATAGTGTCGGTGCTTCTGTTGACACTAATGCTCGTGGTGTCGGTAATTCTGTTGACACCACGCAAGAGGATTTAGACCGCAATGTATTGCGTCTTGCTCCTGATCGCGAGCCGTGGATTCTATCGAAGCATCTGCTCGGTCGTTGGTCTGGAACGACCAACAAATGGTTCCCCATACCGTTGTTTGATGCGTCAAAGCCTTCACGGCCTTGACGCCAGTGCGAAGAACTTTCGCACTGAGAACGATTATTACATCGATGTGTTCCTTAAACATCGATGGTATGGCCCACACAAGAAGCGTGAGGCTGACGCGTTCCTCCAATCTTGGAACGCGTTTATCACCAACGTTTTAAACGTTGGGAAAGAGGCTTGGTTTCAAAGACTTTATGCTAGCCGCAATAAGTTTGAGAAACGAATTACTTCCGGTGCATGCTATCGTTTGCACCGGTTATCTAGAGAGGCAGACCTGTTATGCCTCTCTTGGGGCGACCCATGCCCGGGGTGCCTGAGCACCTCGTCAAGAGCGCCTAAGGAGGCGTACCTCCTTACTGAGCCCTGGTGGAGGGCTCGCATCTCTTCTGAGATGCGTGAAGAGATTGCTACTTTGCAATCCCTTTACGAGCGCGCTGGGCGCTCGTTTTCCGATGGTCCTTCCTTACCATAGGGTGTCCCTTGTCGTACTGCTCGACAAGGCCGGGAACGTCGGCCATCAGTTGGGCCCGAGGTTCCCAGCTATACGCTGAAGGCGGATAGCCACGCCACCGGACGAGATAACTCGTCCGACGTCCCTTCACCACGCGGTGATTTAGCAAGCGTTCCACGAGGAAGCGCTTCACGCCATGAGTGTCCACCATCGGATGCGGTGGTGGAGGGAAAACCCTGTCCGATTCTTTCATCGGACTTGTCTGCTGAGGTAGACGGGTTTGCCCGTCTATCTCGTGAGCTACGTTGTGATATCGATCACGAACGGGATAAGCGTCGCCGCTTAGAGGACATTGTGCGACAGCTTGGGTTTGACCATGAGATGTCTCGGGCAGACAATGCTGTCGCACTATTGGAGAATGAACGGGGACTTCATTGTCTAAGTAAAGAGCTGGCGACAGCTCTTCAGGAGATTGTCCAATATCATGGAACGATCTCATCTCTACACGACCATATATCGAATCTGATTCGTGACAACAAGAATATGAAGGGGATTCTTGAGAATAATGGCTACCTTCGTCGTTCGAAGAAGCCGCGTACTGAACGTACGGACGAAGACGTCCCACGTAAACGTAGGATGCGTACGCATTCTACGTGGCAACTCGATCGTGTATGCGTTGCCTAGGCGGCGCAATACACGAAACGTGCCGATGTACTTGGGCAACAATTTATTGCTGCCCACGTTAGTCACTACATGTTTAGGTAGGTTTACTGTTGACAGTAAAACTAAATCACCTTCAATAAATGTTTGAGCATTTGCCCTTCCATTATTGTCTGCATTTCGCTTTTGCTTATCCACCGCTTCTGCGATGGAGTCTTGCACAAAACGGACTACCGCTTCACGAGTCAGCAGGAAATCCTCAGCTGACTCGTTGCTTTTGGCTGCAGTGCATTGTGAGTGCACTGCGGAGATATCGGTTACTAATTCAGCGAGAACAATAGTGTTCTCACTTGTGATACCTCGAACGATGCTGATATCTTCAGCATCTTTATCAGTAAGAGCTTAATCGCTCTTACTTTCTTCCTCTTCACCGAAGTCGAATGGTACGACTTCGGTTACTTTCGCGTAGACCATTACGTCGTCGCGTGATGAGCAAGAGCCAGATTGGTTCTCGCTCGAGCGAGTCCCTCCCCCCCTTAAATTAGAGTCATCCTCTACAAAGGTGGGAACACGTGGATGGCGAAGGCTATTCACGTAGAATGGTGTATGCGTCGTGGACGCATTCACTGAGTTGTTGATGGCAAATTCGACCGTCGACAAAAACTCACTCCAACTCTTAAAAGAGTGACCGTACCCTCGAAGAATCTCTTCGAGTACGCGATTGGCGCGTTCAGTCTGACCATCAGTTTCTGGATCGTCAGAAGTAGACATTGTGAGCCGTGTTCCAAGTGTTTGGAACACGGAACGTCAAAACTCAGCCGTGAACCGGGGTACCTATCGGACACAAGTTCAGGGGGTAAACCGTGCAATCGAAAGATTGTATCGATAAACGCTCGAGCACAGCCCTCTGCTGTGATCGACTCAGGTACAGCAACAAGATGTACCATCTTGCTGAACCTGTCTACAAACACGAGAATACCATTATTCCCGTGAGCGTCTTTGGGGAACCCAAAGACGAAGTCCATTGTACGGACTCCCAGCACTCTGCCGGAACAGGTAGAGGCTGCAATGGTGCACGAAGTGAAGGACTAGGCTTCACTCGTTGACACACTTCGCAAGCACGCACGTACGTACTTGCGCACAAACATATACTGACGTGGCCAGTAAAAGTCGCGACTGACCGTGAGGTAAGTCTTCTCACGGCCGCGATGCCCACTTATTGGTGCATCGTGACATTCAAACATGATCCGTAACCTGAGATCATGTTGTGGCGTTACAACGACACGAGGCGTGTCGTTGTTGACGGCTGTGTAGTACAGTAAGCCGTATCGATGGGTGTATCGATCGAGAGAAGATCGATACATGGCAGGCAAGCGCTTCTTAGCTTGCGAGGATGGGTTCTTGAGGTACTCCATCAGGCGTACAAGATCATTATCTTGTGCGCATGCCCTTCCAATGTCGTCGAGTAAGCTCGATGACAAGACGCTGGTACTCAGCGTGGCGACAGTGGTGTTCACATCACTGTCGGATTGCACAGTCGGCTCTAGGTCAGGCCGACGGAAAGAGCATCGGCGACGACGTTAAGTCGTCCCGGAGAAGTTGTGCTCCGCGAAGAACGACAACCATCTCGCCATTCGTTGCGAGAGTTGTGGACTGTTTACAGCCGTGCGTAGTGACGCATGGTCTGTATACACAATGAACGGTCTATCTCCTAAGAGATAGACGCGAAACTTAGCCAGTGCATACTTCATGGCAAGGAGTTCCTTGTCATGCACCGGGTAATTGCGCTCAGCCGGTTGCAGCTGACGCGATTGATAACGGACGACACGCTCTGCGCCGTCTTTATCATATTGCATTATAGCAGAGCCGATTGCAAAATCACTGGCGTCACAGACCACATGAAATGGTCTGTCTTGATCGGCAATCGCCAATACTGGCGAT